GTGTACATGTCGAGGTTTCCTTGACTTAAAAATAAAATAACAAAAACGCCCGCTTGGCCCATAAAGCTGTCCTGCAGGTTCCTCCTGTGTCCCGTCAGAGGTGCGCTGGTGTCCCTTCCACTCTGCGATGAGGGGCGGGGCGGGGGTGGGGAGCAGTGTCTGCAGGACTTCGTTTCTCTTTACCAGCGTCTCCTTGAACTTGCAGGACCAGCCCACGTGTGAGATCCAACAGGATGTCCTTTTTCTCTGGATGCAAAGAGAGCTGGTTCGCTCTCTCTGCACAACGGTGCTCGATACTTGCCTCGGGGTGAGGTTTTAGCCTTATTAAGTTCCTGGGCACGTTGCCCTGACTGTGGGTGTGATTGCGGGCACCGGACAGGACTCGGCTCTGAAACACCTCCTCACCCTGCAGCTGCTGCCTGAGCCTCGGTGGCTGGTGGCAGAGAGGTGTGTCCCCTGGTGACAATGCTCACGGCTGGGCTGTGCACCCCTGCCAGCGCCTCTTCCCTGAGGCAGGTGTGCTGAGAGGAGGAGGGAAGAATGATGCAGGTGCCCCAGAGCGGAGTCCCCATGGGAGCGGACAGGAGCCGCCTCCGCCTGACTCCCTAACTAATGCTTCCCCCGTGCCAGCACCGCCTGCTGCCCTGTTCCCTCCGATCTGCTTGTCCTCGACTCTGTGCTCTTGTCCAGCCTTTAATGCCTCCCCCCACCTGGGAGGCTCTGGGTTGGCGAGGACAAGCGAGCTAGCCCTGTGCCCGCCGCTTTCGGCACATGGGGGACGCATGCACAGGAGCACGCAGGTTGCTATGGAAATGTGCATGGGAACATCTGTGCAGCGTGGGGGTCAGTTTCCCCCCCACAGTGCAGGCGGGGCTGTGGGCCGGTTAACGTTTAGCTGGGCAGAAGGCCCAGGTGTGCACGTCTCAGAATAGCTTCTGCCCACACAAGGCGTGTTCACGGACGTGGTGTCCTGTCTCCCTCCATGTGTCGCTCTGCCTCTGGGACCCAGAGTGAGCGCTGTGCCCTGCAGAGCGGTTCCAACGCGGAGGCTGGCCGGGCTCAGCGGGACAGCTGGGCCGGGAGCGGCTCCCGGAAGCTTCTCTCGCTGCTCTCGCAGGGCTGCTCTGGTCTTGGGGTTCTCCCGGGCACTGTCACGGAGGTCTGGTGGGACCACGGGGTGTCAGTTCCGGGACCTGCCCTGTCACAGACGCCGAGTGGGAACCAGCAGAGGTCCGGCTGCGGATGCAACTGAGGGCAGCAGCAGGTCCGTAGGGATGAGACGTGTCCCCCTTCCTCCGGGCTTTGGTTCCAGACATGCGAAGGCCAATTTAGACACAAGTTATCAAACCGCATAGCCTTGGGTTAAACTCTGAAAGTATGCGTTCTTGCCCAGGGCCCCCGAACTCTCTGAGCCAGCACTCCCTGTCCTACTGTGTTGGGCCGCTGCACCATTAAATTTTCTGTTTATTAAAAGAATCAAGACACCGTGGCTTGTTCCTCTAAAACACGTGCATGCAGAGTGATTTCTCCGCCGGGGACTTCACTTCTACCCCGAATAGCCCGGAGCGTGCTCAGAGCACCAACCACAGCAATGAGAAGTAACGCCCGCCCGTCCCTGCTCGGTGGAAGTCCTTTCGAGCACACTGTCACTCACAGTGACCGCAGGTTCCAGTTCCTGGCCTGGGGACGTCTGGAAACAGTTCCCTTCTCAAGGAACCTGCGATCGCTTTCTCCTGGTCTTCTACTTGAACATGTGCTTTGTTCTCCAGACTCTCCCCTAATGCGTCTTGGCTCAGGGCGTAAGATCAAAGCCGTGTGTGGGACCCTGGCCTCGGTGGGGAGGAACTGTGGACGTCCGAGGTGGGCCGGGCCGCAGAGGTGGAAGACCACCAGTGTCCCAGGTTCTCGCCCCGGCTCTGCCCTCTCACAGTCCCCTCTGGGCCTCATTTCTGTCTTCCAAACGCAGCAGACGGAGTGGATCATCTTCAGTTGCTTCCAGCGTTGTGGTTCTGCATTTTGTCTTTCGAGCGTAATTGCTTCTCCAGGAATGTGTACAGCTTGCCAACGCTAATGAGGCAGCCAGAGCAGGTAACCACAAAAACCGAGTCTGGGGGGCTGGGCTGCTCTCGCAGCGTGAGCCATTCCCAGCAGCGGAAAACCCAACGGTCTTCAAGTGCAGACATCCTGTGGGGTCAGCGTATGATGCATGTGACCTTCAGACAAATAGGAAGTGAACCTGTGTCCACAGCGTTAACTCAGCTCATTTTTCAGCGAGGCATCCAGAGAGATGAGAAGGCTGGTTTGAAGGGCACCTGCCGAGCTGGGCACTTGCAGGCGACTGACTGAGGAACGGCAGAATGGGGCGTCAGAGCGTACACAGAGGTTGTTGATACCCCGCAAGGCGGCAGACAATAACCGTTGAGAATTTTTTTTTAACCAGAGAAGCATCTACAGATTAGCAATCTCTAGGCTCCAATCAAATACTAGCATTTCGATAATCCTTGGGTGAGCTATTAAACCATGACCTTCCCGGACAAGCTGAATCCTTTGCTTCGTCGGGTAATATTTCAGAGGCTTCTACGTGGGAGACTCCTGAACATGTAATAAGAGTCTGAGGGACTCAGATCATCCTGCCCCCCACCCCCCTCTCCTCCTGGTCTCTCGGGACCCCTGGGGTCACTGGGCAGACCTTGATTTCCAGATGGAAGTCTAAGGAAAACCAGGACGCACATCGCATGCAACTTAGGGGAACAATTTTTGTCACGTTGGCGTAACCAACGCTCCCATTTGCAATATCCACCTCATGTTAACCTCGTCTCCGTTGCCTCTCTGTGCTGATCTGTTCTGGCGAGTGGAGGGCAGGAAGGACGGATGGTCGCAGAGGAGGGTTATGTCCGCGGGAGTCAGAGTGAGCAGCGAATCAGCCGAGGGCCCGGTGGCGGGGGTCTGTCGGACTCCCGAGGTGGCTGCCGGCCTCACCGCGGAGCATGCTTAGCCTACCAGAGCTGCCCCTGTGATTCTCTGTCCATGCACACTTTAGTAAGGGGGCCCCCAGACGTGAGATTCTAGTAGTAGTGTTGGGTTCAAAGGGCCGTTTCTGGATTATCATAGTCCATGGGGAAAAAAAAAAAAAAAAGAAGTGTACTCTTAGACAAAGTAAGCTGTGATGAGAAGTGGGTTTAAAGAATCCACTCGTGACAATAGCCTTAGTTAGTGACTTTAGCTGTGGGGGCAGGTCAAGAACTTGATAAAAACTGAACACCCTTTCTTTAGGAAAAGCCAGGGAGCATAGATGGCACACATCATTGTGTATTTGATTGATTTGGGTGATTCACGGACCCCTGACCCCATCCACGGATGCAGCTCAAGAACTCACCACTCAGAAAAATGAGGAGCCACGCAGGCCAGGCCACGAGTGACAGCCTCGTACTCACAGCCTGTCCCCAGCGCCCGTCCGAGCCTCCGACTGTGCCCGTCGGCACCAGTGGTGGCTCACCGGGTGGACCTGAAGCAGAAATGCCCATTGAAACGGGAAAGCTAAACCCAGTTATCTGGGTGACTCAGCCCTCCACGGGCCCGCCGAACTGACAGCCCCCTAAACCACTCGGGGTCCGGGGTGCAAAGTCGTCAGGGCCCAAGGGCATCCTTGCACTGCCCCTTGCAAGCCAGGTGACCTCCAGAAAAGGTAGTTAACCTCACGGAGGCTCAAGGATGTCGTCTAAAAAATAAGGGTGACTCAGGTGTGGGACCAGAGCACAGCCCCCTGGTGCCACGACCCCCACTGGGTCCGCCGCGCAGAACAGGAAGCAGACGGTGAGGTGGGGGTGGAGGGTGGCAGGCGCGGGGAAAACCGGGGCCGGGGGGCGGGGGGCGGTGCGGTGGTGTTCTACGTGTGTGCACAAGTTTCGTAGAGTGTTGTCTTGTTTTCCTCGGCTCCAAAACTCAGGCCACATTGGGAGGTGACGGCTATAACTGCACTGCATGCAGTTACTTAGTGCTCTAAAGGGAAAGGTAGAGTTTACCCACTTAACGCTGCTTCTCAAGGGTCAGGATTTCCAGCTTTATGAGAAAGAAATAAGCTTGGTCAACATTTCCTTCTGCAAAGTAAGTCTAAGGCCAATCAACATTCATGAAATATAGTGAATTTCACCCACTTAAAACAGAATGAATGCATAACTATTCTCACCCACTAAATCCTCATACTGAAGAATAATTTAAAAGACTCGCTAGGACTGTCATAAAACCCACGTCGAAGGCACGACCGTTTTTACCCGAGGTATCACTGTACTTTCCGGTTACCTTTGGAACACAACGGAAATGTTTTTGTGCTTTTTGATTTTTTGTGTGTTTGTTTTCAGCAGTACACTACATGAAGGGTTCCCATTTCCCAAATCCATTTGGTGGAATGTTTGGTAACTACGCCAAAACCCCAGAATAACAACGGTGGTTGTTATGGTCCTCAGCTAAGCAATGTGCATTGGTTGTCGCCAGTCCTGCCCTCAGCCGCACGCTGTAACAGCTTCCTCCTTTCACACACCAGGCCCACAGGGGTCACAGGGGTTGGGGTCGGTTGGACTCCAACGCAGGACGTAGGTCAGAGAGCTGGGAACATCCTCAGCCGGGTGTGCTCGGGGCTGAGGTCTAGGAAGTGCTGACACTTCAGTGGGGGCACTGCGCCTGCGTAAGAAGGCTCCCGAAAAATGCCTGGCTGGCTGCCGTGCTCAGTTCTGGCCCGTGTTGTCAGACTGAAAGTCCCTATGCTTGCCGGTGGCTTACGTCACCACTTTGTGCAAGTGTGCAAATAAGTGAACATGAAACCCCAGTATCTTCTCGGATGCTCTTGGGGCCCGGAGTAATGAGCACACATGGGGTCAGGGGTTGGGGGGTTCTAGAGGGGTCCCGTGCCGACCAGCTCCTCCGTGTCCTTCCCACAGTCACCGTAGCCGTGAATGATGTCTAATTACCCAAGTAAAACAGGACTTTGCCGTGTCCCCGGGCAGGTGCGACAGCGTGGAGCTGGACGACAGGATCCGTGTCCTGATTGAGAGGGGCGCCTCTCCTGCCCCCGAGGGGGCCGCCCCGGGGGCCACCCCGAGTCCCAGGAGCTCCTGCTCTCCAAAGGTAAGGGAACGCCCCCTTTCTGCCCTGCCCCAGCACACCTGTGCGCCGGTGTTCCCCGAGAAGGCTGGACGGGGACAGTCCCCAGATCCCTTACGGTAACTTACTTCCTTGATGACTGTGATGACACGGTTGTTTCACCCAGTCACGTCCTGTTGCCACAGGAGCCCTTCCGCACGCAGAGTGCTTTCCAGCCTGGGGGGCGGCGCCGGCTGCGGCTCTGGGGGGAGGGGAGGCCGGCAGGGAGGGGGCGTGTCGCTCACAGCGACCCCTCGTGTTGGGGGAGGGAGGAGCCCGTGCAAACCCCCGTCCACGGGGCGCTCAAGTCGCCGGGGCTCAGGCCTGCTTTCCAGCTCTCCCGAGCAAACGTGCTGCTGGACCTTCAGTTTCCTCTTGCGTCAGGGCGTGCGTCTGGGGCGCTCACTGCAGACCGGCGGCCGGGGGCGCGGGCAGCTCCGTGCTCGGCTTTCTAGGAAAGCCCCGACGGGCGGCAGGAGTGCTTCAGCCCCGCGGCCCTCGGACAGCGGGCTCTGACGGCCGCTTCGGAAAAGTCTGATGTCAGCAAATTCCAGAGTGCGGGTGACGTCACAGATTCTGCCTGACTTCTCCTTTAGTTCCTGCTTCTGAAACAATTCACACTCCTGGTGAGAAAGTCGCACTGCGCACAGAGAACACTGTCGAAGTCCTGCACGAACAGGTTACTGAGGAGCGAACGACCCCCCTGAAACAGGGTTTTGCTTTTGCACCTAATCAGCATGCACGAATGCAAATTTTTCTCCCTTAAAGGAGGCCTTGGAATGGGACAAGCCTGGGGCCTCCCGAAACACAGACGTGCTCCTGGGGTCTTCCCCGGCCACCGCTCCCGGAGCCTCCCGTGAGGGCCGGGCGTCCGACCTCTCTGCGGTTCTCCTCCACACACGTGCTCTCGCATGCACACACACACACACACACACACACTGTGCTTGTTAACATGGCCCTTCACTTAGTAACACGGTGGGCTAACCGGAACCTCCTCCTTTCACTCGGTTAACGAGCCGAGGGCATTGTGTTCTGTACCTGTGCACTTCCTCCCGCTTCGAAACACACCTTGCTCCCGAGAAAGTCCCCTTTCTCTCCAAAGCGGGGAGCGGCTCTGCTCACGGTTGGAGCCGAGGAAGGCCCCCTCCCCTTTCCCTCCCTCCCGCCCTCCCTCCGGCCCCCCCTCCCGCCCATGCCTCTCGCTCCCGGCGAGGGCTTCCTTCCGCCGTGAGGACGGGTGCTCTCTCCGGTCTGATGCCGGACAGACGTTTACAGGTGAGAGTGCGGGTCCCCCCCCAACCCCCGGAACCCCGACCCTCCCATTCCCGGCTCCTCCACCCAGTGGGTGACTCATCGGCTCACCGCTCCTTTTGTCCCCGGACTCCTGTGCACGAGGGGACAACCTCGTCTGCACCCTCACTCCCGTCCTCTCGGTGATCACCACTCCCTCTGTGTGTGCGGGCTGCACTGAGACTTGTGTCGCTGCTTTGGATCCCGTCCCCCTTTCACTTCCTCGACGACCTTCGCTCGTTCTCCTGGGCCGCACACACACGCGAGAGCCAGGGGGAGTGAGCGTCTTGCCGCTGCCCGTCTCCCTGTCGAGGGCGAGGCGGAGACGCCTACGGAGCGCGAGAGGGTGTCCGGCGTTGGCAGAAATCGGGGCGGGTGCGGCACGGCCCCTCGGAGACCGGGAGGGGGACGGGAGGGAGAGGGAAAGGAGCTGCGTCGGACTGAGCGGCGGGGTGCCGGCCGCTGAGCCCTGCCGGGGCTCCCGTGTCCTCCTCTCTGTCACCTCCCCCAGCCTGAAAGGTCGTGCTCGGGACGCCTGCGAGGCCCGCCGACTTCACGGGTGGTGTCGTGACGCCTGCACACCTCTGCCAGGGGCCGGGCCCCGGCGCCACGCACACGCTCTGCCTCGAGGGGTCCAGTGGCCCCTCCTCACCTGACCCCCCACTCGCACCCTCACCTGCAGTGGACACAACGCACTCATTCCCACGCCCTGCCCCCGACAGCTGGGGTAGGGGCCCCTCAAGGCCCTTCCCACTGACCTCCCTCCTCACCCGGCTGCTCTCACTCGGCCCACCTGCGCTCCATCTGTGCAGCCCAGGGTCTGCGCCTCATCATCCTCGGTGCCTTAAACTGCAAGACAGACACACGCTGACGGCTCCAGACTCGCGTCCCTGCTGAGCACGGAGTTCTTTTCACACGCCCACCGATGTCACGGAGCATTTCCCGGAGGGAGTCCGGCATCTTTCCTGCTGAAACGGCGTGCGTTCCCTCCGCCCCTCCCCACACTGGTCAGCGGGCCATCGCCCACTGAGTCATCCCGACTCGGGCAAGATCCCGGGTTCCTCAGGGTCCCCTGCCCCAGGGGCGCGATCCACAGACGGACGCCATCTCGCCTTCAGCCCGGACGCCCAGGGTCCGGCCCAATCCACCTTCGTGTCATGTGTGGGCTTTGCCCCTTCTCCTGCGTTCTTACCACCGTGCGGGCACGCAGACCCAGAAGACCCGCTGCCCCCGCGACCCCGGGGGATGCCAGCCCGGCCACCCAGGCCCAGTGTTGCCGGTCATGCACAGAGCCCGCTGACAGGCCAGGGCGCGGAACTTCGATGCAGGTTCCTTTACCTGCACGCGCGCCCGAGTGCCTTGGCCTGATCTGTGCAGTCCTCTGTGACCGAGCCCCCGGCTGTGTGGGGAACGGCTCGTTAGGGGAGGACCTGATAGTGCTGGGCAGCTGCCGTGACAGGTGAGGGTCAATGTTTGTATTTTGTTTCGTATGCACAGCAACAACGCGAATATGGCTGCGGTTGTCCTCATTCCCGGCTGAGGACGCCAAGGCTCCCGGAGACCTGAAAAGGGTGTCCGCACTCACAGAGCAGTCCGGTCTCGGTCTCGGGGCGGGAAGCAAAGCATCGTGCGTTTTCCTCCCAGTGTCACGCTGTCCCCCGCCTGTTCGGCCCTCCCCCAAATGCACCTGTGTCCCCGACACGCCGTCACCCTGCAGACCGCGCAGTTTCGTGTTCTCTGCGTGTCCACAGGCTGTCTGGTCTCGGCGGAAACCCTCGCCTCCCTGGGGTCACGCCGGGGTCAGGAATGGCGCCGTCGTGGGGGCAGCGCCCCTCTCTGGGCTCCCAGCCGCCCGTGGCTGGAGCCTCTGCACCTCCACCTCTCTCTGTCACTAGGGTGGTCCCGCAGTGGTCCCTGTGAGCCTCTCTCATCCCGACAGAGTCTGGCACGGCCTCCCCACGGCTGACTCCGTAAACAGACGCCCAGCTGCTGTTCACACAGCAGCACTCAGCCGAAGGTGGTCCTGTGTCCAACACAGGACGACGACCTTTGCATCCGCCCTGAGATCCTGACAAAATGGGAAACTCCGAAGTTCTTTCCAGGCCCTGGCCAGGCACCTCCATTGGTCAGAGCATCGTGCCAGTATGCCAAGGTTGCAGGTTCGATCCCCAGTCGGGGCACATGCAAGACTCAGCGATCGAATGCATCAATCAGTGGGACGACAAAGTGGGATTTATCTCTCCCCCTAAAGTCAACGGGAATGGAAAGGAAGGGACTTTGTTTCCGGGTGAGACGAGGGTGAGCCACTGACTGAGGGACGGTGGGGGGCAGCCCAGGTGCCCTGCACGTGTGCGTGCAGCAAGCACAGCAGGAGGAAGACCCCCTTTCCGGGGGCAGGAGACGGATGTCTGCCCGACCTCGTGAGACGGGAAGGGCGTGCCCTCATGAAGGAGACACGATTCGGTGAAGGGGCCTCAGACACACGTCAGGTTTCCGTCTCGCTGGAGCGCCTTTGCTGAGAACTCGCAAAGCGGGAGACCGACGGGCCGCTCCCAGGAAGCGGAGGGCCAGGACGGATGCCCAGAGGAACCGCCGGCCCGTTCTCACCGTCTGGGATGCCTGAGGAGGTTGGCCAACCCCCCGTCCGTCTCGTAGGCAAAGGAGAAGTGCTTGCCGCAGCGCGAATAACGTCCAGATGGCAGAGGGAGGGCTAGTGGACGTTACGCTAAACCGAGGCAGGGTCCCAAGGTGCTACGAGAAAATTAATGTGTGGGCATGAGTTTACGACCCGTGATGTACGTCTTCAAATGCAAAGGGCAGCGCTGGCGGGCTCGGGGTGTGCTCTGTGGACAGACAGACCCGGTAACGCTCGGAAACAGGGACGCGCAGGGAGCGGGCGGGGAAAGTGTCCAAACCCTAAGAACTTCCCCGGAACCAACCCGCTCCCGGGCGCTGTCCTGCCCTTGGACTCCAGTCTGTCTTTCTGATTTTAACGAAGAAACAGCACCACGAACTGGCGTCTCGTAACTTGGATCCGGGCCTCATTCTGGCGGGGAAAGGCCTTGAGAAAATACCTCGGGGGTCGGGGAGCGACGTGAACTCGCGGCCCTCTCGAACCTCCTGAGGAAAAATTCCTGGCCAGCTACAGTAAGATGACACATGTTTTCTGCAACCACACTGGTGGAAAAAAAAAATCCAGTTTCCATATTTTTATTTCCCTTTTTTGAAAGTTGAACGAGCGCTTCTTGACCCAAAGTGAAATTTGGACGATCAAAATCTTGTTTTCTCGTCTGTAAAGTGGGATCCGACAAGAAGGTCAAGTGCGCGACAGTGCGAACGCTCCGTGTAGGCACGAAGAGCTAAAGAAACACAGCACTGCAGTTATCATCGCCAGCCGCACTGCAGGGTTAGCTGAGGCCTCCGCGTTTTCTCGGTTTTCCTCCTGAAATTACCGGCTTCCTCTTTGAGTCCCATTATCAAGTTTCGGTGCCAGGCGCTGTGGCGTGTTTTCTCTGCGCTGCGTTGCTGTGCGACGGCCTGTTTGCTTTCCACGGGGACGTCTCGGTCCCAGGCAGGAAAACGGCCGCGTGGAGTTTGGGGGGGGGCGAGGAGCCCGCCCGCTCCACCCGCCGCTGCCCTCGCGGAGTCTGAGGCCCACATCATGCATGCAGCCCGGATGAGGTCATTTCAACGGGCTCTGTAGTTTTTGATGTTCTCCTTCCTATTTCTTTTTTTAAGTTTTTAAAATTTTTGTTGTACTTTTCCCATCACCATTCAGTCCCCGTATGCCCCCCACCCCCACAATCCCCACTCTGTGGTCCGTGTCTGTGAGTCCTTTTTCCTTTCTGCTCCGTCCCTCCACCCCCCACCCCCCCCCCACCAGCTGTCATCTGCTCCCCACCTGTGAGCCTGTCCCCATTTTCCTTGTTCGCTCAGTTGGCTCATCAGATGCCCCGTGTGAGTGAGGTCTTATGGTACTTGTGTTTCTCTGACCGGCTTACTTCAGTTCGCACAATGTTCTCCAGGCCCACCCATGCTGCAGCAAGGGGTAAGGCTTCCTTCTTTCCTGTGGCCGAGTAGCATTCCGTCGTGCAGATGCCCCGGAATCTGGTTGTTCATCCACTCCTCTACTGGTGGCCGCTCGGGCTGCTTCTGTAAACTGGCGACTGTAAATAGCGCTGCCGCGAACACAGGGGCGGTCATGTGCTTTCACACCACTGTTTTTGGTTTCTTCGGATGGAGTCCCAGGAGTGGGGTCGCTGGGTCATGGGGCAGCCCCATTTTCGTGTGTCGAGAGCACTCCACACTCGTTCCCGCGGCGGCGACCGCCATCTGTGCGTGCGGGTCCCCTTTCTCCACACCCTCACCGACCTCTGTCTGTGGATTTGCTGGTGACAGCCACTCACACCGGTGGGAGGTGACATCTCATGGCGGCCTTTCTCTCATCTACCAGTTTGGCTACTTGTTTTTGGGCTACTTGTAGGAGTAGAGTCCACTATCCAATCTAAACAGATTAGCTCCTGTTTAGTGGAGAGGCCAGGCTGTGTCTCCCAAAACACCCCTGCAGAGTTCAGGTGACCCCACTGATCTGGGACTTGTCCACCCCGCCCCCCTCCATTCACAGTAAGGTTCCGAAGGCTTCTGCTGCGACGACTCTCAGGTACACGTCCGGACAGGGCGGTCTTGCTGTGTGTGCCCGCCTCGAACTCCGTCGTGTAAGAGGCACGTCACTGGTGCCTCAGGCACACAGAGGCCGAGTCCACAAGGTCTTGGGGTCTTCTGACCGTTCGATCTCCTGTGAGCCCCTGGGGGGGCATCTGACTCAGCCACAAGAACAGGGGCCGTTCGGGGCTTCCTGGGTGCAGAGCACTAACCATGTGTATCGGCTGAGACGCTGTTTTGGGCTCGAGAAACATGGAGGGAACCCAACAGGTGGAGATCGCTGCCGCGGAGTTCCCCTGGTGGCGGCGGGGGTCAAGGAACGAGGAGGAAAGTCCGTGTGTCACACGCAGCGCCGTGGGGAAGACCTCCGCAGAGGCAGGACGTGCGGGGATGGAGGGCACTTTCCAAGAGGGAGGCCGGGTGCGGTCCCCTACAGAGAGGCCGTTTAGGCAATCACCCTCCGAAGGTGAGGGCCTGAGCCCCGTGAGCATCTGAAGGGGAGAGAGAGCTGTTGGCAGGGAGAACGGGGAGCGTGTGGGACAGGGCCGCACCATGGCAGCGTGGCTGGGCCGTGCAGCAGAGGGACAGGCGACCGTGCTGAGGCAGAGGCGGGAGGGCCTCCTGTGGGGGGGGGGGGTGTCGTGCTGTGACTGGGGCCTCGAGGGCCACTCTAAGGAGCTCTGCTCTCACTCCGAGGGAGGTGGAAGTCACTGGATGGTCCGAGCGCAGGAGTGACATGAAGTGACGCATTTTGCAGACTCTCAGTGGCTCTGGACTGACCGCAGATGGGCGGGGGGCAGGGGGGTGAGAGCGGAAGCCGGGAGGCGCCAGGTTGTCGCCGGCGTCCGGGGGAGAGACCCGGGACAGTCCGGAGATGCTGAGCGTCCTGCCTGAGGTCAGGCTTTACCGAGCTTCTCCTCGTCAGTTACTTTCCTCTCGAGTCTCGAGGAGTCACTTGAGAGGTGAGGACTCTCCCGAATCACCTGGGAAACCTGGAGGGACGTGTCCGTTTCTCTGAAAGGCACCGAAGCCGGTACGCTATGGCAGGAGGCAAGGCTGGACTGGAGGCCGGCCGGAGTCTGCAGCCCGCCTGAGGGGGTGGGCGGGGGAGGGGAGGAGGGCGCCTCTCCCGGAAAATGCCCAGGCTCCTGGGTTGAGCTCCTTTCGTCTCACCCCCGCGACTCGGGCTTCCCGGGGGTCACGGTTCCCACGGCTCTGTGGACCAGCAGAAAATCGGTGGTTCGGCTGCTTGGAGGAGAGGCTTATTCATTCAGCAAAATGTGTTGGCCACCAGCTCTGTGCCCTGCACCGTGGGCACAGAGGTGGATGCCCTGACCTGGGAATACGCTGTCGTGAGTGCCAGGTGGGGCGCTCTGCCTGGCTGGTCAGAGAAGGTCACACAAGGTCAGCAGCCACCAGGACGGAGGGGGCCAAAGAGGGGGATGTTGCAGGCGGAGAGAGCAGCATGCATGAGGACACAGGACTCCTGTCGAGAAAAGGAAGGGATTCTGCCCCGGCTGGCGTGGCTCAGTGGATTGAGTGCTGGCCTGTGAACCAAGGGGTTGCTGGTTCAATTCCCAGTAAGGGCACAGGCCTGGGTTGTGAGCCCGATCCCCAGTAGGGGGCGTGCGAGAGACAACCACACATTGATGTTTCCCTCCCTCTCCTTCTCCCTCCCTTCCCTTCTGTCTAAAAATAAAGAAATAAAATCTTTAAAAAATCATGTTTAGGAAAAGGAAGGAATTCAGTGTGGCTGGAGCTCAGGAAGAGCTGGAGAGTGGGAAGATGCGACAAAGACAAGGAAGGGCCTGCTCTGGGACCCCATCCACCCCCTTCGAAAGAGTCTGAATCTCAGGAGTTTCAGGATTGATGCTGCGCATACGCGGCTGTCTCAATGGGCGGTCTGCAGAAAAGGGGGAATTAGGGGACTGACTGTAAATTCTTCCTCTTCTCCTTGCAGCAACACCCCCTTCCTTTCATCTTCCTGCCTTATCTTTTGCTCTCCCTTCTCCAAGCCCCAGCGAGGCCTTGGGCTCCACTACGGGTCGTATGCGTAGCTCCCAACACCCACCCCTCCAGTGCACCTGTCCTACCCACCTAGTGCCCCATTCATTACCCAACGCCCTGGATGAGACCAGAGCCCACTGATCAAGGCTAAAGCGTTGCTGCCAGAATTGGTTTCCTTCCAGTGGGTCCTGGAGAGACCCTGGACCTCGCCTACGGAAAAGGCAGCCTTACGCTTGAGAGCCCCGCTTAAACTCTCTGCCCACATCGGAGATAAGTTCTGCCAGCGATAACCCTCTCCCCTGCAGCGAATGGTGTTCCTGTTTGGTTCCATATAATTAGTAGCACTTACAGGGTGATGGGTGACTCATTAGGTGCCACGCAGCCCAGCTCACATTTATGGGGCATGGCCAGAAAACCGTGCCTTTAGGGAAGCAAGTAACTGAGTTGTGGAAAAGCCAACAGTTACCTAATTGCCCCGGGAAGTTGAGCGCAACGCGGCCGCCGCGGCGGCGCTGCAGAGGAAGACGGCCAGCCCAGGCCCTCTGCAGGAACTTCCCCTGCGCCCCGGGGACGCCGGCCCTGCCCGGAAAGCCGGCCGGGCCATTTACATACCGCACGGGCTGGTCTGCCTGCCGAGCTCTGAGTCACGCCGGGCTGCTTGGCACATCCTGGGAAACCCCTGTTCGGAGGAGCAGAGACACGTTAAAATCCCGGCTGCGCGGCCGAGGACCTTATTCTGCACGACTCCCGCTCCCAGGCACGGGGCCCGCCGTTCACAAAGAGAGCGCCACCATCCTCTTCTGCGGCGAGCTCGTTGTTTCTGTGGTCTTTCTGGAGCTTTGTGTGCTTGGTGTTTCTGGAAAAGATGCCCTAAGAGACATTTTCTTTCTTCTTCTTTCTTTTTTTTCTTGCTGCTTTCCAAGTCACCGGGAGAAAGAGCTTCCATGGCCCATGCACAGGGCGCGGCGGCGCTGGGAGCGGCGGAAGGGTCCACGGGGCCCGCCGAGGTGAGAGCGCATGCGCACTGTCGGGGCGGGGGGCCGGCCGCGGCGGAGGTGGCGCTGTTTCTGATGGCTCACGCCGCCGCCGGGGAGAATCCAAGCGGAGGCGGCGAGTCCGCCTTCTGCACGTGGCAGAGACGACCTGGGTGTGCAGGCCTTGTCGTTCACCACCGAAACGGCATCGGGGGACCCGGCGCGTCCTCGGACACCTCGGGGTCGCGTTCCTCCTTGCACCCGGGAGGGACGAGATCCTGTCCTTCCCGCTTCCAGGTCCAGGGGTTTCGTACTGTCCTCCCGAGTTAGGGGAAGTCAATTCTAGGTAACGTTCAGAAAGGATGTTCTGTGAATGTGGGCAGAAGTAAGAATAGCAACGCAGCCGCCGTAGTAAGGATGTATTTGGAATTAGGAGCACCGCCACTGTTTGACTGCGCGTTACTACAACAGGCACTAATTGGATGAGTGAGTGAATGAATGAATGCAGGCATGAGCGAATGCGTAAATGGGCTTTCTTGAAGTTTTTCACAGAGACAACCGAGTCGTAATAGGAAACCAAGTGAGACTCCTTTGTTCACGTGGGCACTTAATTCAGCGGTGTCAGAACTTGACCACCTGAGAAGCTGGTCTTGGTATGACGGCGAATGAGACAGAAGTACCCAGCTACTCGGAACACAGGTTACATTTCACAGGGAAGAATTAGTATTTGACTGGGCCCTTGGTAGGACTAATGCCTAAAAATCTGTGTATTTCTTGGATCATCAGAGGCCTTCATTAGCAACTAGAATTCAAAGCAAATACAAGACTTTGTGTTTAATAGATTTTGCTTCATTTTAACCTATACCTGAGATATAAGACCCGTGGTGAAAATGTTGATCAATCTCCAGAGAAACCTCTGGTGATACATTTACAGTTTACAAGCCATTCCTGTTACTGGTCTCTCTCTCCTCCCTCTCCCTCCCAGAATTGTATCTAGCTTTTCAATAACTCTTATGTATAAAATAAATATTAAGGATGAAGACAGGTCATATTTTTTCAGAGAAAATTAAATACGGCAAAAGCAAAAAAGGAATGCACGCCACCCTCTGGCTCCTAGTCTGAGCTCTCAGCAGGCCGGGCAGACAGGAGTCTGCTCACCCAGCCTGTTCTGTCCTGCAGCACAAACAGAGCGGGGGGCTCCCGCAGGACCCTCAGTCCCGGTTCCCAGCGCCGTGTGTCACGGGAGAGCCGAGAGCTGTGCGCCGCATCACGGTGGCCTGTGGGATTCAGTAAAGGTAGAGGTGGGGCGCACGGGCGGAGCACAGCAGAAAGTGAGGGCAGGGAAACTACCCCTGGTGACTCCATAATGACGGACACCTGTCACTCTCCGTGTCCAGACCCATGGGGTGCGCTGCTGCACCAGGAGGGGGCCTCATGTAGACTGCGGACTGGGCCGCAATGATGAGTCCTTGTGGGCTCATCCGTTACGACCAGTGCACCCCTCTGGTGGGCGGTGTACATGGTGGGGGGGCCGCGCGTGGGTGGGGGCAGCAGGAATGTGGGACGTCCCTGCGCCTTCCACTCCATTTCGCTACGCACTTAACACTGCTCTGAAAAATAAAGTCTATTAGAAGGACAGTGGAGATGCTCTGGCCCCCTTTGAAGACGCTCTGGCTCGTGTTGGGGCCACCTGGGGTCGGCCAGCTCCCACGGTGACCTTGGGGCATCCCTGCCTTGAGAACCACTGGTCTGGGGGCCCGTCTCACGGGAGGCCCGGGGTGGGCCAGCTCACAGCACCTTCTGGGTCAGAGACGCCTAATATTTAGTGTGCTCCGGTCCAGAGTGAGCCCCGTCTCCTGAGAGTCTTCCTAGAAGGAGAGAGCCTGGGTACGGGACCTAACACATTTGCCGTCTGGGTTTTGATGTCACTCAGCCAAAGCAGCCTGAGGACAGAAGCAAGTAAAGTCGTTCCGAATCTGTGGACCCACGTTAGAAGGTCGCTGTGAAAAGGTGCCTTCAACTGTACGTGGGTCTGAGTAGGAAGATGCCAAGGGAGTGGACAATAGCATCCACAGAGACAAAAAATACCACCAAACGCTAAAACGCTGAGGGAAACGTAGGTAAATAGAGAAAAAAATAGGAGAACAGCTTTATAAATCATTTCTGATGAAAAAAGCCCTGGGAATCTTATGATGATTGCAAAAGAGCACTTCTTGGCCAAGACACATGTTTTGGGCACATTTCTTAATCGTCTGTGAGTATCTTTAAGCAATTCTGTGGTCCACGATAACCACTGAGCCTGCAACCAAGTGAGCCTCCCAGCAGCGGACCGAGGGACGACCCTCCTCACCCAGGTCGCTGCACGTGGCCCAGAGGGGAGCGGTGACAAGGCTGTCGGGTTGGGACACCGCGCGTCAGCCAGCTTTGTCAGTGGTCTGGGCAGCCAGACGGCAGGCAGGTGGTCTCTGGAGCCCGTGTGCTTTCTTTAAATGAGAATGCCCATCTTGACCAAAAAAAAAAAGAAAGAAAGAAAGAAAGAAAAGGTGGCTAACTTTTTCACTGTGTCTATGACTTATGACTAATCTGCATGTGTAGCCCAGCAGCTTTATTCAAAGGTCTGGTTACAGTTACAATTAGGATCCGTCATTCTGCACCCCGCTCCCCCGCGCCCCATCTAAGTGTCTGATGGCCCCTCGGGGGTCGGGGTCGGGGGGCGGACTTGCTGCGGCTTGAGAAGCAATTCTCTGTCTTGTCACCGCACGTGCTGGTCTTTCTTGCTTGCTGGCTCCGTCACGCCTCTGGCTTTGGCCGCGGCCACCCCTCAGGTCTCGGACACGACACGCCTGCAGGACGGTCTTTTAGAAACGTGACTCCGCAGATGCCTGGCACGCACCCATGAACCCCCCCGGGTTTCTGGATGCGTTATGCCCTGAATGTTTATTTTCAAAAGAAATGTGTGAGATCCAAATTTCTTGCTTGCCTATTACATCAATACATGTATGATTTCCTAGAGAATCGTTTTGGTAGTTGATTTATATAAAAGAGTCTACGATGCAATATAACGCTATTCATCAACAGGTCTCTAAGGAGGACCACGGAGTGAGGATTGTAACGGCTAGAATAAGTCACTATTTTATACATGACAATGTGACAGTTTGCCCGATGCATGGAGTTCGTGGGACACAGTATTTTTCCTGCTTATTTTCCAGTCTGTTTTGTTCTGCTTTTTGTTTTCAAGCGTGCAAACTCACCCAGAGGAAAGAACTCGACCAACTCCCTGGAACGCAAGATAAGGTGCTTGGAGAAACAGAGAAAAGAGGTAATTCTGAAATGTTAGTTGAATCAGCATGTGCTGTGGAGCGAGGCTGAGACTAGCGCAGGGGGGGTGTCACCCAGAACCTTTCCTTCCTGTCGCTGGGCCGCAGCACCGGTCTCGCGGGCCTGGGCTTCGTTGCTTTGGGGGTGAATGCTGTGTCTCAGTGCCCTGCCGTCCCCTCCGTGGGCTCTCAGTGCTTGTGCGCACACCGGAGACAGTCATACACCCTGTAAAGGTCATCTTAATCTTCTTGCGCTCTCCTCCGCAGGGACCAGGTGAGCCTATCACCTGTCCCCCGCACGCCCTGCAAACGTGACACACCCTGAGAGTCAGTCAGACTGTCAGTGGCTTTGAGTGCAGTTGACTCAGGAGTCCTGAGGTCGTGAGTCTGGTGTCTGGCTGATGGGGGTGGGAGCATCACCATAAAAACCCTGGTTTCTAAGATGTCCTGGGGAATGTGATGGTTACCTTTTTTTTCTTTCGAGTTGTGCTTTTCTGAGTTTAAAAAAAATTTTTTTAGATGGTTTCTTTGCAAAAAAATATATTTTATTGATTATGCTATGACATTGTTGTCCCATTGTTTCTCTCTCATTCGTTCCCCACCGCCCTGCACTTCCTCCCAGCAGCAGCCCCCCACCCTCAGTTCGTGTCCATGGGTCGTGCATATAAACGATTCGGCTTCTCCGTTTCCAGTTCCATTCTTAACCTCCCCCCGTCCACTTGGTACCCACCATTCATGCTTCTTATTCCCTGTACCTTTCCCCCCAGTCTTTCCTTCCCCTCCCCCATAGCTTTTCTCTTCTGAGTTTAATGAACGTTAGAGCCTCCGTATTCTTCCTGGCAGAGGGAGGGGTGGAAAGTGTAATGAGTCCAGAGCCTTGCCCGCGCTCAGTTCTGTGCCTGCTCCCCTAGGCTGGCCTGTCTATTGCCTCCTTCCCTGTTGCTGTCTTCCCTGGGTCTTCCTTATTGTCGTCTCCCCTGGGGCCTTCCCTCCGCCTTGACAGGACAGGAAACGCTGTGCCCCTCTGGCAAATGACTGAATATAGCACAGGAATGTCGCCACAGCACAGCGTTGTCGGTCCCTAAAATGCCAGCCGGCCAGGCGTATTTATGTAGTAATATTGGACAGTCTTATCATGAGTCCCCATAGCTATTTCCGGCCTAAGCCTCACCTAGGGACTGCCACTCTGGATGGGATGTCTTGTTTGGTAATTGGGAGACAGTCTTGCTACATTTTGGTCACTGCGACTGTCTTCTTGATGTCTGTTGGTAGGTGTTGGAATTTCTCTCAATGCAGAAAGTTGCAGAGTCCCCTGATGAGAAAAAAAAAATGCAGGTCACCTGTTGTTTCTTTTCTTTTCGTACATAGTTTCAAAGCTTTCACGCTGCTTGTAAATTATTTCTAAATATTGTCTCAGGACAAAACAATTATTCTTTCTATGCTTTCAAAAAGTTGATATTATCCATTTGTTGGTCCATATTACACATCATGTATGGATTTTAAAGAGTTGATTATTGTGAGTGAGTGATAATTAGTTAATGGGGTTTGGAATTTGTGAATATAAATTCTGCTTTTAAGAAGCTGGAAGAAATATTTCATTATAATCAACTAAGCACATATAAAAATATGGAAACGTTTGAAAAAAGACCTTTTACATTTTGATGAATCTTAGAGAAAACCGTCAATACTGACACATTTTTACCAGATTCCGGCTGGATTAAACAAAGAAGATAAAAATTCACATAACTGAGCAAACTTAAAGTAGCTGATAAACTACTCCGCAGACTAGCCAAGACATACCAAAGGTGACGGCTTTTTGGGACCACCGTCTTCACCCAGGGCTTCCGAAGTATGAGTAACCTCAAAGAGTGACCTCGTTTTGTCCGAAGTTCCGAACGGGCAAAAGGCCTCGGCTGACTTACCACGTTTTGATCATGCAGCTCCTGGACGTGAACCAGCAGTGGGACCAGCAGTTCCGAAGCATGAGGGGGCTGTACGAGAGAAAGGTGAGCGCACCTGTCCACCTGTCTCCACCCCGGCCGGCCTGGAGCCAATCAGAGTGGGGGGCGGAGCCTGGGAGGGCTCCTTCACGGTGGGGGCTCCTGGAGAGTCACACGTGGAAATGGCACGGAAGGCCCCCCACCAGAGCCGGCGCTGGAGGGCTCACACACGTGCACCGGAGCCCACGTGGTGCCTGCCAGGCCTCGGCTGTGTGACCCGCAGCCACGGACACACCAGGTCCACGTGAGGGGAGGCACGGCTTCCAGTCCATCCCGCTTTGAGCAAAGCTCACTCTCTCTTGCCCCTGGACTAGGCTAGGCGGCAAGAGCGACCCTCCCCAGAGAGCAACACCCACGGTGACAGCAGAGACAGAGTGACAGGAAGTGGGGGGGTCCCCTCTTTTCTCTAAAGGACGGTCTCTCTCAAGCCGCCTTGGCTCTGGTGAGAAAGCCGGCTTGGGGAGAACACGCCTTTGAATAAGTCAAAATCAGTTTAGAATTCAAGGTCATTCCACACTCAAACAGAGAGAAAAGGGAAAGTGGATTCCCCCAACTGATTCACCGTTGAGAAATCTGACCACAAGTGAGTAATGCAGGGCATTGCTCTCGCTTCCCGGCCCGCGGTGCCCAGAAGCATGAGGTTTGGAAACGGCAGGAGGCCCCTCCCCCCGGCTCCAGGCCGGGTCGGCTGCCTCCTCTCACGGAGTCTGGCCGCCCAGGGGTAAAGGACAGGGTCCCTGGAAAGCGTTTCAGCGGCGGTTCTGACCGCCCGCAGGCGTGTGGAGCCCTGGGGTAAGGAGTGGAGGGCACCCACCGGCCCTAAAGCTCTCTCACGGGACTGTCCCCACTCTGAGGACCGCTGTGGCCCTTAGTCGCAGGTCGAGCTGCGGGTTAGGTGAGCTGAAGGCCCACCTGGGCTTTTCTCAGGCGTGGACACCCCCCCCCTCCCCCCGCCGCTGCCCCTCACTGCCACCAGGCCCCGAGAGCTGGGAGGATGGCGCCAGGCCCAGAAGTGTCCCTGTCTGAGCTCCAGAGCCTCGTTCCCTGGGAGGTGGTGTGGTTGGGAGGGTGGAAGGACGGGCCCGAGGCTGTGCAGTATCTGTTCCCTGCCCCCCACCCTGGAGGGCACTCCTCTGCTAGGGCAGTGGGCGGTGGGCCTGTCCAGGGGGCTGCAGCTGTCTGTGCCGACCACCTCAGGTAGCAGAGCTGAAAATGAAACTGGAGGCCACGGAGAGACCCCTCAGCACCCTGGAGAAGGAACGGCCACCGGGCCAGAGGGACAGCGGCGGGCCCCGGGACCTGGCCCAGGAGCTGCAGCACAGAGCACAGGTGGGTGCGGCTGGGGCCCAGTGGGAGGGGCCAAGGAGGGGGCCGGGCAGCGGATGCCCACACTTCCTCCTCCGTGGGACAGCACGCAGGTTGTGGTCCGCCAGCTGGACCCAGAGCCGTGGATTTGGTGATACCCTTCTAGGGCATTCCAGCCTGGGAGAAAATTCAGCCTTCCTTCCTTCCTTCTTTCCTCCTTCCTTCCTCCCTCCTTTCTTTTCTTTTTTCTTTTCTTTTCTTTTCTTTTCTTTTCCTTTCCTTTCTTTTCCTTTCCTTTCCTTTCTTTTCCTTTCCTACCATCTCTTCCTCCCTTCCTTTTTTCCTTTCTTTCTTCCTTCCCTTTCTTCCTTCTTCCTCCTCTTCCTCCTTCTTCCTTCTTCTTCTTCTCCAACTCACATTTAACAACAGCACGACAATGCACTGCACTGGCACAGCTATGTCTCATCTGACAGCATGCTTTACAAATAGGTATTATGTTTGTAATCTGAAAAATACATTTTTAAAAGTACCTCACCCTCCTTGTCTCACGTAACATTCCCAGCCCACCGAGAAGAACATATTATTTCTGCCATTTTCACGGGAGGAAGCTGAGGTGCAAGAGGGTGGGTGACGGGAGCTGCTGAGATGCGGCTCGTGGAAGACGCGGCGTGAGCCCCTCCGCTGGGCGCCGAGGCTCGCCCGCGCCGGCCGAGGACCGCACGGGGCCGCCGAGGTGGCCGTCCGTCCTTGGACCTCAGGGGTGTCGTGGGAAAACACGGGAGGGACACCCTAAGCCCGACACGGCCTCCCTTTTTGTAGGCCATGTGAAGAAACACGGGAAGTGCACACGTGCTCAGGCGGAGTCTCCGAGCAGGCGTGTCTGGGCACTGGTCCTCTCCCAGGGCCTGCACGACCCTCCGGCCAGCTCTCGGGTCGGCCGGGTGGCGCCAGCCCAAGTTTCTGTCCTTGCTGAGGCCACCTTGTCACAGGGAGTCCAGGGGGGGCAGGTGCAGCTCTCCCTCTCTCGGCCGCGACGCCCGGGCCGCGGTCCAGTGGGGGCCGCTTCGTCCGAGATGCTGCTGAGCCAGCAGACGAACGCCTTAGCACATGCAGGAGCCATCTTCTCGCCCCGATGGACCTAACTCCTGGCATATGGGGCGCACTGGGTCAACATCTCAGTCTCGTTAAGACTCCAGTTACTGCACGCAAAGTTCCCCCTCCGGAAGGTGAAACTGGGGAGGCAGATGTTGTCCGGTGCCGGAGCCCGTCGGTGTCTAGGGACCAAGGCCGCCCCATGTATCTCCGGCCCCGGAGCCCTCGCAGGGGCCTGCCACCTGGAGGCGTGGTGGCAGCGGTGGCGATGGGGAGGCTGGCCTCTCCCCCCCGCCCAGAAGGGACAGCCGCACCAGCACGGCACTCGGAGCAATCGGGTCCTCTGTCTGGTCCTCTGTCTGGTCCTCTGTCTGGTCCTCTGTCTGATCCGGAAGGGTGCGGGGCTGGGCTCAGAGAGAGCGTTTTGCACTGCCACGGCCCTTTGCCCTCTGTAGGATTTTTGATTACCTTGACTGAGTCACTTGCCCATCACCTCGCACGGGGACACGGCGCTGCGTTACTCTGCGGACCCACTTGAGAGTGAGGTTGGGGATGTGCACATCTTTTTCTGAGGTCGCACGACTTCAGAGCGTCGAAGAGGAAGGAGAGAAGGAGGTCCCCCGGGCTACCCCCGGCCTCCCCCAGAGACATGGAGCTCCGTGAACGCCCGGGGGGCCCCTTCCTACGGCCCCCCCGCAGCGCGCCCCCCGCAGTGCGTGCTCTGAACTGGTGTGTGTTGTTTTCTTGCTCTCTACTCCAGAAGGAAACAGAGAGCCCCGACGAAGAGCTACATGAATTGAAGAGAGAAAATAAGCTGTTAAGGGAAAAGAACGCCACCGTGAACAGGAAGAAGGAACATTACGAGTGTGAAATCAGGCGCCTGAACCAGGTACGGGCGGGCGGGCTGCGCCGGGGAGGCCCCGAATGAACCGTGCGCTCCTGGCTGAGGGTGCGGGTGGCCCTGCGGCCGCGGGGCCCGGCTGGCTGGTGCGTGGTTCTGCACGTCTCTCCGGCCTGTGCGGTTCCGCCAGACCTGCCTAAGGAGGCTTGTGGGAATTCACGTCCCTGCAAAATCTTGTCATGAAAAAGAAAGGAGGAGAGATCATAGAAGAGAGTAAGAACTTTTTTTTTAGTTTGAAGAGTTCCATAAAGCAAGCAGGTGTTTGTGACAAATAGCGTATTTCTTGGTCGACCACAGGGGTTTCCCGAGGAAACAGGCTGCTGTTTAAAACCCTCACCCGGGGCAGGGCTGTGATGCCGACCAGACAGGACATGTGTGCGGTGTGTGCGTTGTGGGGCAACAGCTTGATTTTCTGGGAAAGGGTCAAGGCCAGCGCGAGATCCTTCGCTGTTGACTTTCCCGAGGGCCATTCTGTCCGCCGGCCACAGGAAGCTGACACAACAGTACGTGGTTAGGTTGAAACTCGCATCTCCCAAACTAGCGCTTTCTTGACCCAAACACGCGAGATTGTCTTCCAGAACGCGAGCAGGCACTTGGCCTTGGAAACGCCTGCAATGTGGACTGTGCGCTCTGTCGTCGTTAGCGGGTGTCCGAGGGTCCCCCCAGTGCCGGGTGCCTGCCTGTGTCGCCGACAGAGTGCTTTGCAGACGCAGCACGGCGTCTGATCTGTCCGCAGGCCTCCGTACCCTCCAGGGGAGAGCAGGGCCGGTGGAGGCCGGTGGGGGGGGGGACTTCATAAACTGGGCACTTCTCTGTCCTCCCCCAGAGAGAAGCAGTGGCCAGAGGCACAAACTTAGGGCGGACAGGCACTCGTCCCCCCTTCCTCCTCTGCTGGGACTCCCCCGCAGGCAGACTGGAAGCCTGGCGTTGAGAGCACATTTGAAGCCCCTCCCACTGCTGACGTATTGCGTGATGCGTTTTCTTCTTTGCTCTGGTTCGTTTCTGTAAATGGAGGTGCGGGCACACAGACAGCCTGCAGAATGGGATCAGCCAGGGGCTCCGTCTGCAGCCCACGCCCACGTGCCCCCTTTTCTTCTGGGCGTCTTTACTTCCAGCCATCCAAAACTTTCAAAGAGTTAGCCAAACACTAGTTTTCTAAGTCCTGCGATTATAACTGTAAAATCTTAGTGAGAAGAGTTAATCTGAGTGAAATTCAGGGCTTCCTAGAAAGGTTCCCGAAGAGAATTCTTCTGGCTGACTACCCTCATTGAAGTTACGGTGCACCACTAGCATTTCCTGCTTTGATTTTTCCGTGGAAGTCACCGCTGTCTAATTCACGTTGAACATCCCATGTGTATCGCCTTCCGGGTCTCTGGACTCCCAGGCTTGCTTGTGAGCCCGAGACCGAGGGTGGATGTTCGCAGGTTTGCAAGGCCGCCGACTCCTGTACTGGGCAGAACGGGCACAGCGCCAGGGCACACGGTACTTTCAGGGGGCCAGGAAGACGTTAGTTTTTCTTACAATTGGAGGGAAAACATGAACCTTTAGGTTGAAAAAATGTTTCCACCTTCGTATTTGTATACTCAGCGTCCAAGGGGGTGGTCACGCGCTGTAGTTTTAACACATGTGTCTGCAGGGGAACGGACTCCGAAGGCAGTGGGGTAGAAGGCAGTGCGGTAAGTGGCGCTGAGGTTGTTTGCTGCTGAGTCCTGGCTGAGTCCGTGACAGCAGGAGGCTCCCGTGTGAACGGGCGCGACTCTGACTTCCGAGCAGTGAGGAGCAGGAAAAGGGGGCTTTGAGCCAGAAAGTGTGTCACCCCACCCGTCTCCACCTTAAACGGTCACTTAGAAACCCCAGGCCTACAGCGATGACGTACGGAACAGGTGTGTCCTCAGCCAGCACAGGTGGTAGCGTCGCACGGAATGCAGGAGCTAGTGATCTAATTCACACGGCAGCCTCTCTTCTCCTTTGATAAGCAGAAGCTACTCCAAGTGCTGAGGTGGGGGGCCAGTCGTGCACGCCGTCCGTCAGGGAGTGGGACTCGGGGCCACTCTGCCGGCACACGCCGGCTGCTGGCGGGGGGGGGACCCACGGGCTCAGCAGACCCTTGCGGCAGGTCAGCTTGGCGATTACCACGTGGCGTTCAGAAGCGCGCACAACTGTGCGTACGCAGTTCAGTTCGCTGGCTTTGACGGAAGCGCCGAGGGCTTTGTTTCCGGCCAGGTTCTGGAAGGAAAGCCAGATGTGTAACCGAAGCGAGAGGGGTTACCTGAGTTGGGTGGGCCGGGGCCACCCGAGGGCAACCTCCACGTGCGGCCCTCCTACTGGGAGATGCGCGGGTCTGCTGGGCATCCCCGCGCTGCCGGGCAGAGACCGGTCTGCGCCCCCGGACCGGGCTGCTCAGGGAAGGTGGAAAACCCCGCTCCGTGGGACTCACCTTTCGTCTGTGATTCATTGGCCAGATTTCTAGAAGGCTGACTAACGTGAAAGGTAGCCCAGGAAATTCAAGTATAACGTGACTCACGGAGATAGCGTGTTCCAGGTGCGGGGCAGGGACCAGCGCGTGGGGTTGCCTCCGCTCACGTGGCCCGCCTGCCCGCCCTAGATTCTCTGCTACTTCCCGGCACATCCTTAAAAACATTGCAACTGTCGTGACAGTCCCTAGAACTATGTAGCTTACCGAGACACTTGAACAAAAACCTACGTTAGTAGACAGTCTTTGTTGTTTCTTTACATTCTTCTTGGAGGAGTCGGAAAAGTCTGATTTCTCTCACGGCCTCCTGAGAAAGGGTGGGGACGCCAGCCTGGGCAGTATCTGCAGGCCGAGGCGCTCAGTCAGTGTGCCGCGTCCGTCCGCACTCACCCAAGGACACGCACGGCCTTTCTCCTCCCGCCTTCCCGACCCCGCTGCACGGGGCGCAGGGCAGGGAGTTGCTCCCGGTGCCATCAAAACGACACCGTTGAGGCCACTGGAGCAGCCCAGAGGACGCGAGTTCTCGCGGCTCTGAGAGCAAAGCTCTTGGTTTGTGTAGAGGCCCCCGGTCACAAGCGAGTCCTCACACAGTGTGTGAGCCCCGAGACCGCCCCGGGATGAGGTACCTCCCGTCCCAGGGTCTGGCGTCTGTTCTCCCAAACTCACCAGGGACTGAAGGGCCCCGGGGTGGAGGCGGTGTCGTTTACAGGACCTGACAGTGTGCTCATGAGTAAGCCTGGCGATCTCGTTGGCAAATCCCAACCTCCCTGCCCAGGGCGCACACGCCGCCAAGGTGTCCCGAATGCCGAGAAAGCAGAGCGGGTTGTCCTCCCTGCACGAGGTCGCGGTGTCTGTGTGGGCAGTGACGGGGCTGTGGCCGGCCGGCGCGTGCTGTGCCGAGGGGGCTGGGCAGCGGGGCCATGCCACCGGGGTCACGGGCGGTGAATCCGCCCGGGCTCACATTCCTGGGCAGTCCCCTCTCTCCCGCTGGGGGTGTGGCTGTATGGCGGGATAACTCAAAACGTCACCTGGGACCTGCAGGATCTGCTTCCGTGGAAAGTGGGGTCTCCGACCCCCGTCTTCTGACCTGGCTCTCTGGAGACAGAGCCCAGGGCCGGGGGCGTGCCTGCCCCCTCCCCTCCGGGGAACTCTGGGCTCCCTAAACTCGGGTCGTTACTGGTAGAGGACCCACTGGTATCTGGCTGAAGCAGAGAAGCCAGGGGAAGAGAGAACCGGGAGAAAAGCTACCGCTGTGCCACAGTTTCGTAGCTGGGTGGGTGGAGGGGCTCCATTGGCCAAGCCCTTCGGAATAACAGTGCGAGTTGAATAGCATGAGCATCATCAGAGGAAAGACGGATTCTGAAAAAAATACACACACATGTGAGAAAATCAGAAAGAAGGAGGCCATCCAGTCACCAAAGCATCATGAGAAAGGTTCTACCTTGTGGGTGCATTTGGGCCCAATGCGACCACTATAGAGGAATCCCTGCCGTGTAACTCTGAGATCACCAACACGCTCATGTCGTCACACAGGCCCTTCAGGACGCCTTGAAAATCGAGGGTGCGTCCTTCCCCGACAACTGTTTGGGGGAGTCTGAGAAGGGGTGCGGCCTCGAGGAGATGAGGACGGAAATGGAGGTTCTCAAACAGCAGGTGAGCTGCCTGTGGGCGTGGTCACGTGGGGGCCAGGGGGCCCCGGGGCGTCCGGGGGGGGGTTTGTCTTTCAAAATGTGCCCAGGCCCTTCCGTCGCTGCTTACAGAGCGTTGGTGTAACTGTGTCGGAGAGAGAACCTCAGCTTCCTACCGGAGAAAATAAAAACGCAGAAAACATAAATGTCAGCTTGGCGGGGTGTAGTTTCCTTGCAATTCTGGCGGAGAAAGCCTTAGAAATGAAATATGCATCTCTGCACCTACATCTGTACGAAATGTATCATTTCTTCTTCTGCCTCCTACATCTCGTTGTGTTGTTACCGACTTAAAGCTGGTGAACCGCTGGTTCAAATGTGTTGCACTGTTGGTGGTGGCGCTGCCACGTGCACTCGTGTTGACAGGCAGAATTCTAGCCACCAGGTTCCGACGTGAGTTGTGACTTAACTCACGGTCCCAGAGTTCCTTAGCCCCATTTACGCTCACGGGTCCCCACACTGGTTGACAGGCCAGTAGTCAGCACTGGGCCAGTGGAAGCCGACAGTAACTAAACCTGTTTTTCCTTTGATTTACTGACTTGTCTGGGGTATCTCAGGAGAGGTGTTCCACTGAAGCATCACTGTGTCTCTTTTTTTTTTTTATGCTTTCCCTCCAAAGTTCCCAGGGCAGCCCCCATGAAAACCTTTGAACAGTCACGCTCTCTGCTTTTCCACATGCACGAGCCTTTCAGTTCTATTTTGCGTGCAACGCAGAGTTGACGTTTGGAAACAGCAGATCACTGAACAGCTGGGGGCAGCAACCTGGCTTGGAGAACCCCAAGGGGTGGGGGTCGTACATCGGAGCCTCGGGCTGGGGTGGGTCACCGGAGCTAAAATAGAGACCCTCTGTGCTGGAAGAGGCCACCACACATAATGCGATACGCAGCAAAATACCGATGAGGATAACCTCTTTCAAAATATCCGCGCTATGACTTAGCTTCTGAATTCAAGTGTCATGCTCACGAAGGGCAGCGTTGAGAGCTGCCCTTCCGAATGAAGTGAAGGTAGAATCATAGTTCTGCGTGTGGGGATGGGGCCCCGCCACGAAGCAATGGCCACAGAAAGAGGACAGAGACCCCACCAGTTGGACAGGCCCAGGCAACACCTCTTCTGAGGTCAGGCAGAGGGCGTGTGAGCGGAGGCGGCCACCAGTAACCGCGAGTTGATGCTTCCCAGGTGCAGATCTACGAAGAGGACTTCCGCAGGGAGCGGGCGGACCGGGAGAGACTGGGTCAGGAGAAGCAGGAGCTGCAGCAGAGTAACCGGGCCTGCCAGGCCCAGCTGCACAAGCTGAAGTCTAAGGTACTTAATAGTCTAAGTCTATTATCAAAACAAGATAATCTTAGCCAGCACGTGCGCCTCGTACTTTCGGTTTCTCTCACTGGAGAGAAAATGCAAGACTCTGTGGCTGCGGTTAGTGGACATTGGATGTCTCGGAGAGGTTAGCACCTGGGGGCATGAGGCCATTTTTCAACAGTCTTGTAAGGAATTGAAAACAGCTGGAGACTTCTCTGTACCTCAAGTGCTGGTAGGAGCTCCCCAAGCAGGTGGGCCCCAGAGTCTTTTATAAAGTTAATTCCTTTGATCTTTTTCTCACAATGTTTGTTTTATAGAATGGGAGTAGACCTTCCCAGCACTCCAATCCAAGTCCGAAACTCCCAGGGAAGTTTCGCTAAATTCTCGTGATTTTCTTTGAAGGGCTCTGTTGGAATGTCCCTGCCTTCCAAACACATACCTGTTTCTAAGTGCCACACTTATGGATCTAGTGAAACCAGATGAGAGTTAACTGGAGCACCCTCGAAGGAGCCAGATAGTGTTAGCCGGCTTCTTGGGGTAGAATACATTAAATGTACGCACACTAAAATTAAGTCCGATGGAACGTATTACAAGTAGCCTCAGGAAGTTACCCTGGTGGGTAGGTGTGGATGTGAATGAGGAAAATGTAGCCACCACAATCCTGGCTTAAGACGAGGAAACGGACTAGAGAATATTTGGTTTGCAGAACCGGGCAGTGCTCGCCGACAGATAGGGAGCTGTGCGGGGACACGCCGTGGCGTGTGTGCAGTGCGCCATTGCGGGAGCCTCTGCGTGCGTGGCTGACCAGTTCCAGTTACACTCGATGAGTTAGTTAACAGAAGCCGTTTCTATATCCACAGCTTCATCTGTGTCTACACCTAGTGCTACATGTATATGCAGATATATCTAAATATAGCGACCTAAAACTGAGACTCAGCCCCAACAAATAGGAATTTCAGTTTAAAACTACCCGCCTCCCAGACTTGCTTTGGGAATTCCAGGAGAGGGCCAGGGCGTGTCTGGGCAACCCAGAGCGCCACCGTTTTCCTGGCATCCCTGCCCTCAGCGGCTCCCCCGCCCCCCAGCCCCTGAGCGGGTCCCTGAGAGAGCGCGGGGTCGAGTAGCTGTGGAACTGACCATCTGGACTCTTTCTGATAAACCAATGCCTTTGTTTTGCCCGTAGTTAAAAGCTTGTCAGATGGAGAAAGAAACACTAGAAAGGCAATTAAAACAGGTACGTGGCCCCTCCCCCAAGCCACCAGCCTCTGGCCGGCCGGGGCGTCCCGTGTGTGCATGTTCCCGGGGCAGCATTTCCCGAAGCCCCGACTGGAGGCGTGTGCCAGCTGCGCGGCGGGCGGCCTGGCGCCGTCTCGCTGCCCGTGGCGCCCGGTGGCAGTGGGCAGACGCGCCCGGGGCTGTCAGCCCCAAGGTTCCGGAGGAACACATGCTCCGCAGGGCGTGTGGCCGGAAGCATGAGCTTGGCGTGCGGTCCCACGAGGGGAGATTCCCTGCTGGACCCACTGTCCCCCCGGGAAATATGCTGCCTTGGGGTCCCTCGCAGTTGTTTGCCCTAGTCAGGGCGGAAAACCACAATGGATACGGTGGCCTCTTGGGAGAGAACGGCGTGCCTTCCCCGGCACCGACACCTCCTGTCCCATCGGTTCTGTCCGGACCCTAGCGATGGTCGCCTACAATCTCTTGGGACGTTTGTGAGGCCGTGAGGGTCTCCCTCCGGCTGCCGTGTCAGCACGCCGACTCCAGTTTAGGGTCAGCTTCCCCCCGAGTGAGGACCCTCCGTGGGGGCGGTCGGAAACGCCAAGTTAGCTCTGCAGAACTTCCCGGTCTTTCTCGTTTCTCCAAGATCAGAAAACGATTTTAGTCTCGCCAGGGGTCAGTCTGGCCCGTGAGCTCACCCGAGTCAGCCCAGGGTCCGCGGTGACGTGCCCCCTGCGTTGAGTTAGGGTGTTTCCAGGGTGGGTTCGACCTTGAGGCTGACACCTCGCCACGTGGCTGTGCCAGGCGAGTGTCCGCGCGAGTCCGTGGGGCACCCACTCCCGGTGAACGAGAGCCTTCTTCCCCTCAGGTGTATCTGCCCACCTGTCGCTGTGGCTTCGGCGTCCACCTGCGGGACCCCAGCGCACCTGCCAGGCCGGGGGCTGAGCGGGATCCAGAGAGGCACCCGGTGAGTAAGGACTCGTGCGTCAGCCGACGAGTGTCCTGTTTCGGTGAAACCGTGTCCGTCTCTGGGCCCGGGGCACGATAGAGTCTCTACGGTATCTGCACAGCGGCGGGGCCCACGTTTACTGTCGCTCGCGCGGCGATGCTGGGGTCACAGGACACACCGCAGTCACCGCTAATGGCAAGGTATCAAACTGCGCTCTAATTTCTTGAACACACATAAGACATCATATACGGGTCATTTCTGACGACGCACCTGACTCTGCCCGGAGGACGTTTGTTGTGTGTAGAGAAGAGCAAAGAGAATAGAGCAAAAGCCGTCCGAGAGGTGCCTTGTTTTCCCTGAGCAAACTCACACTGACCTGCCGTGGACGTCGCTGCATCTGGGAAAACGGCGCTGGACACTTTGCAGCTGAAAGGGTGTTCTTAAAGGATCCCAGAAAAATCGACCTGTTTCGGTTGCCCTCCACAGCTGTGTCCACCCAGGCCAGACGGCACGGACCACGGGCAGTTATTTGTGAGTGGCGTTGGCTTGGACGGTCAGCCTGAGCGAGTCGGCCCCAAGCTGCCTGCCTTCCTTCCTTCTGAGCAGTGGTGTCCCCCGCGCCCCCCTGCCCCTGGACGACCCTCCCAATGATCCGCCTGCAGAGACAGAACCCCCACCCCGGAAGAGAGAACAATGCGTGTTTCCCTGTGTTTTCATTCGGTCAGACCACTCCCCTCCCCCTTTGTGCTTATATCGGTGCCTCCGATTCTGCAAAGAACCTGAGGTTGCCCCTGGATTTTCCCAGCAAAGCACCTGCAGAGGGCCGGGCCCTCCCGGCCCCCCACTTTTGTACTTGAATGTGGCTCGCCCTTTTCCCAGGGAAGGACGGGAGACTGTGGGTGGCGCAGGGAGGTCAGGGCTTAAGGAGCACCGTCCGTGACCCTGGACTGGACGCCGCGCCCGCTGAGGACCTGGGCTCCCTCTGCTCTCCTGCCCCAGGCCTGCTTGTTTCGCCAGCCCCCTCGCTCGCAGTCCCCACGGGAACACTTCTGGGCGTCCCCAGACGCCGCCGAGATTCCTTAAACGTTCTTTACAGAGCGTAGATGTGGATCGACATTGTGGGAAATACACAGAGACAGAAACTTCCTTAGAAGTTGGTCCCTAGGGGTTGGGAGACTGGAAAAACATTCTTGGGAGAGTTTAGCTGTGAAGCCAATCAGCCCTTCAAGTTCATGCAGAAGTGAAAGTGACAGTTTCCTTTCAACCTGCATTTAGGTGAAGGAGGCCGGCACTCACCGGCCCTCAGAGCCCGCCAGGCTTTCCCCGTCGGTTACACAAGCTAGGGCCGTCGGATCCCCGGACACTGTCGCCGGTCGGAGGCCTGCATTTGAAAGAAGCTCCCAAGCCGTGTACCATGGCTGACATTCTCGAGCACTATTTAAAGAAACAAAACCTCAGTATAACAGTCGGTGTCCCCGAAACTCCCAGAGTTAACTTTAAAAGAATCTGTCACGCTCGTTTCCAGCATGCGCTGGCGTAAAGCGCACGCAACAACAGTGTTTGTGAAATGACAGAGTATCCACCTTCCCTTGGCGGCCCTCCTGGAACAGGAAGCCAGGCCCCTTACCCTCCGTGCTACCTGAGACGTCTAGAAACCTTGAGGAGGAGATAAAAACCAGAGGTGACCTCACTTCCTCTGTGGGCTCTCCGTGCGTGCACCGAGGAGCCGCGGCGTCCGGCGGGGAGCGTGGGGTCAGGCGGCACTCACTGCCAACTTCCCGTGTCTCGCCGGCCGGCAGATGCTCCCCGCTGGCTGGCGTCAGAGAGCACCCCCCCCCCGTCCTGATTGGGCAAGAGAAGACACGGTCTGCACGCCCCGCCTGGCAGAGGAGTGGGGGGGGGCGGGGTGGGCACGGGGGAGCAGAAAGATGGAGCAACCTCATGTGCAGGGGAGGCCGAGGCTGCTCTCCTCCGAGGGGCTCCGTGCGAGACACTGGCCTCCACGCCGTCTCTTGGAAGTCAGGCCTGTCGCCCCTGGTCCGTGCCGTGCCGGTCCTCTCCCGTGGTCCCCGATGTCCAGCGTCGGGCTGTTCTCGGCTGGCGTGAACCTTGGAGCAAACCCCAGGGGAAAAGCACAGGCTGCCCCTCATCTCCCGGCTGCCGGAGCGCGTCAGGGACTGGTCCTGCAGAGGCAGGTACGAAGGGACAGGTTGTCCTGCTCCTGCCACGTCCCCGCTGCTCGGCTCCGGTTTCTGCCTCGGTCCACCAGCAAACGGTGAACTCGTGGTCGTTTTTCCTGGTCTCCCGTTGCCTCCAGTGGGAGGGGTTTCTTTCTCTTCTCTTCTCTTGTCTTCTCTTTCTTTCCTTCTTTCCTTCTTTCCTTCTCTCCCTCCCTCCCTCCCTCCCTCCCTTCCTTCCTTCCTTTCCTTCTTTCTTTCCTTTCCTTCTTTCTTTCTTTCTTCCTTCCTTTCCTTCTTCCTTTCTTCCTTCCTTTCCTTCTTCCTTCTTTTCCTTCCTTCCTTCCTTTCTTTCTTTCTTTCTTTCTTTCTTTCTTTCTTTCTTTCTTTCTTTCTTTCTTTCTTCCTTCCTTCTTTCTTTCTTCCTTCTTCCTTTCCTTTCTTTCTTTCTTTCCTTTCCTTTCCTTTCCTTTTCTTTTCTTTTCTTTTCTTTTCTTTTCTTTTCTTTCTCCCCCTCTCCTCTTCTTTCCTTTCCAGTATTTGTTGATAGCAAGTGGCTTTCTTTTTATTCACGGGCTATAGTGAGTTTCACAGAAGTGTTTATGCTTCAGCAGATACCCCAAACACATCTGTCCTGGAAAAAAAAGAATATGTGCCCACCCGCCCCCCCAGAGCAGGACCTGCTGGCCCCCCGCAGGGTGGGTTTAGGAGGGTCGGGAGATGACGGTCGCGGTGCTGAGGGACAGGAGAGAGGGCTGGGCCGGGCGGGAGACGCGCCCAGCGGGGTGGACAGACCCCACGTCCACGCGGCCAGCACCGTGCCGAGTGACCGTCCTCAGTCCGTGCCGCACGGGAAGTAAAATACCACACAGTTCGCGTGCATCCTATCCAGATAGATTCCAGCAGTCCCGTCCCGAGAGTCAGGATCCTCACTCTGCAGACTGCGTCTGCTCACAACGGTCTCTGTATCTCCACGTCACGTGTGACTTTCTGGCGCGAGAACGGCCGGATCCGCGGTGTGAGTGCGTTTAGCTCCTGGCCGGAGGGAGCGATGGAAGGGACCCCTGTAAGCAGTGAAAGCTACTTAAAAACGTAAGAAACAAAGAACTTGGGACCATATATAGTATGATTTTCAATTCAGATGATGAAATACTAAGGATATTTTGCTTTTTAAAAATACATTACCTTCTGAATAATCTTATCCGTGGGTATGATAGAAGACAGAGAATTTTATGCCTGAATCTACATTTTTAGAAAAAAATTGCGGGAGAAGCGCCCTTCACCTTACGACCGTATAAACGCCAGCTTACTGGTGGACTTGGTGACTTTGCCGAGCGAACATTAGATACAGTGTGAAAGTATATTTTACATGTACAGGGATATCTGGAAATACAGGGGGTAAATATACTCCCATTCAAATACGGATTCATAAGCAAATACTAAACATTCTCATTAAATACCAAAGCAAATGCTAAACATTGTAATTGACAACTGCATGCACATGCACACGCACATGCCTGTACATACGTGTGTGTGTGTGTGTGTACTACACGTGGCCCGTCTAGACCGGTTTTGGAGGGACGGTGCCCACAGTGAGCCCAGGCCAGTCTCAGTGAGACCCATGGTTCTCTTCCGTGGAAGTCCCGGCCTGCGGGGGTGGGGGGGTGAGGCGGGCGTGTCTCCCCCACGGCCTCCCCCGGGGGAGGGGTGTCCACCCGCCTGGGCTTCCCTCCCGGTGGGGCCGAGGCGCCCGACTGGAGGAGGCCAGCTAGCCGGGGGAGGGGACAGGCAGGGCCCCCTCAGTCCTCTGGCCCCTCTGCGGAGGGCCCTCCCCACCCACCCCGTACCAGCGGAGTTTGCGGTGCCGCTGATCCTGGGCAGAGGCAAGCCCTTCCCTCTGCCACCGAGACCCCTGGGTCCTGCTGAGGTCACGCCAGCCTCGTGCCGTCACCCGCACTCGTGCGCCCACAAAGCGCAGGGCGCGACTGTCACCCTGAGTGGACGATCGGGTGCCCCGTGAGGGAGGGGGGTTCACGCCCACCAGCAAGGCAAAGCCCGCTCACCTGCGCCCGGAGGCCCCGAGACTCCCCGTGGCGGTTCTCTTGCCCCCCTGTGCGCGGAGCAGCAGCTCCCGGGGAAAGGTCTCCCCTCCTGCGCCGGAGGGCCCGCCCTGCCCTCCCTTCCAGGGCCAGAGGCCCCGTCTTTGCCTTTGTCTGGGTTTCCACTCCGCCCTGATGACCCCGGAGGCCACCGTCTCTGCACCGAAGCCGCGGGGACCGTGGCCCTGGCCTCCGTGCGCCTTTTCACAGGAGCGCTGTCGGAGCCACGAAGGGGCTTATTTTTCTTAGCGTCGTCGTAAGAGGCCTAGACGTCGGCGTCGCTGGTGGATTAGATCTGAGCGTCAGACCGCTTCCCTCACGGGGTTCCACTGGGACCCCCGAGGCCCCCAGCACGCGAGGTGCCTTTGTGCCCTGATGGCCACGCTCCTGCCTGGGACAGCCTCTCACGGCGTTCCCGCCCTCAGCTGTCCGGCCGGCCTGTCTCTGAGACACCACACGCAGGGCGGCCGTGGGGGAAACACTCACACGGTCCACGCCATCATCACGGACGAGGAGCACACCGTGTTTCTCCGTGTTTCCGTGGTCCTGTTCCTGTCTCCATGAGGGGCCCCGCGAGGGCGTGTCTTCCGGCAGCGTCTGCTTGCGGCCTCTCACCGGGGCCTGCAGGGCCGTGCCGCACTCTTCACCCGGACTCGCCCACGCCCACGGTCTCGGTGCCGCTGCGCCAGGAGCACCGAGATCTCCGCTGGGGCTCTGGCGGTCCCGCGCCCGGTGCCCCGCTTTAAAAGCGGTTTATTTGGCAAGTTTTGTTCCTGCGGGTTCCGCGCCACCCCTCATGGTCACTGAGACGACTTCGCTGTCCTAAGCAAATGCCTGAGCCGCCCCAGAGCCAGCCTGCGTGGGGAGTGCATGGGACGGGTCTTCGGCGTGACTGGGTCTGGGCCACTCGGGGCCTCGCAATGCAGCAGGCGTGTGTCAGGGCTTCGGACGGGAACGGCCCCCTTCCCGCCCCGGGGGCCCGGGGGCCCACCCGCAGGCAGCCCGTGAACGAAGTGTTTCTCTCCCTCACCAGCCCAGGGGTGTATGCTTCCCCTGAAGCCCCAAGAAGAGAGGTGCGTCTTTCCTTTTTAATCTGACACATTTCCCTGTCGTTTGTTTTCGTAGATTTCTCCTCCGAAAAGGAAGTCGCCCAGCAAGCCGTGTGCGCGAGCAGAGGGGTGCGGGGGCACGGGGGGCGCCGGGCCAGGGCCCCGCCCGCCCGGTCCCTGGGGCTCGCGTCCTCTGCCCGGCCGCGTGTCGTCCGCCCCACCCTCGTGTGCCGCTGCTCCCCCCGGCATGGAAAAGGCTTGTGACAGCTGAGGCCCCGGCCGGGTCTGCGGGGCCAGGAACCTGCGACCCACCGCACGGCCAGCCCGTGTCCTCGAGACGAGATTGACAGGCAGAGGACACGGGGCTCCCCGAGACCCCGGAGCCCAGGGCTGGTGGGTTCACGGGGGCGGCTCCGCGGTTTCTGCGACGTGTCTGACTCACGTGCCTGTCCCCGGGGCGGGGGGGGGCACTGTCGCCGCAGTTGTGTGTCCTCCCCTGCTCCCTGGTCCTCACGGGGGCTCAGGTCCCTCATGGGGGCGGGCTCGACTCGATGCCCCGTGCGTCCCTGGGGGTCGGGGAGCCTGCGCGCAGGACTGAGGAGGCCTGTGTCCCCCTGAAACCGCATTGGCGGTTCCCCACGAGCAAAGGGAGAGGCTGGGAACGGCTCCCCGCACAGCCGGGCGCCTGCTTCGTCGTCAGGCGGAACGGGCGACGGAGGCACAGTCCCGCCTGCTGGTCCCGGGTGGCGGCACCTTCGCACAGAAGCGGCTCCGCGTCTGGGGATTTGCCGTGACATCTGCGTTCTTTTTTGTTTGTTTTCTCCCCCCCCACCCCCGTGGATTTGAGTAGCTATTAATAAAGAGCATTATCCCTGACTTCTCAAACCGATTAAAACGAGAAACAAATGTACCCAAATTTTCTCGCGGTGAAATTACGCGGCGGCAGGGCAGGTGTCTGAGGGTTGGGCGGATTGTGACGCCTGAAGTTCGCCCGTCACTAGGGACGCTGCCAGGACCCCACGGAGACTCTCTGTGAGGCGTGTGGGGCCCGCGGTGGGGGGCAGGGCCACGAGAAGCACCTGAAACAGCGAGGGCTGTCGGCCGAAGCCCCAGGCGCCTGGAACAACCCGGACGCGGCCTGGAGACAGACTGGCGTCAACATCCAGAAACTGCGCTGCGTCCTCGTTCCAGCTCAGACTTCTTATTCCCAGTTGCTGCAAACACCTGAAGAGCCGGGTGAAGGGAAGGGGAAGAGCCTTAGGAAGTCGAATCCTCCGCGCCCCGGTCTCCGGCTCCCGGTGTGAGACTTCAGGGAGGACCAGCCTTCTCTGCGGGGAGCCCCGAGAGCTGCTCTCGCTGCTGCCTGGGAAAGAGACGGGCCACTCTCGGGCAGCGCTGCAGTGTGAGTGGGTCAGAGCAGCAGCAGGATTGAACGGGCCAGTCGCCCTGAGACAGTTTGGGATTTAAAAAAAAAAATCCCATCTTCTCAGATTGGTGAAAAAGCCATAGTGAGGCCCACGCCCAGCTGTGGGTTACGTGTCTGCCACCCCCCACCCCCGAGGTGGGCCCAGAAGAGAGACAGCCGAGACTGTGCACCAGAATCACCTCCCGGGGGGCTCGCAGCCCACAGCGATGTAACCATCCTGTTTCTGTTACCGAAGTCACCCTGTTCCTAATGAGCAAGCGGCCCAAAACTGGCGAGATGCACGCTGGCTCATGCCGCAGGAGGGGGGGCTGGTGCAGGTGGGACCCGGTTGAATCTGAACCCCCAGTGGCTGAGAAGAGGACCCCTCGCCCAGAGCACCACTCCGCCTCTAGAAGAGAGCCGCGGGCGGGCACTTCCTTGCAGTCTGGGGGCGAGGAAAGGGCAGAGCGAGGGCTCAGAGCCGCCCCCCACCCCCCGCCCCGCCCCGCCCCACCCCACAAGTGCTGTGTGTGCTGTGAGTCTGCTTCCCGGGAGGCCCGGCCCTCCCTGTTTGGGGGGTCGCTGGGGTTTCCCGCAGGTTGCATTCCAAGAGCGTACTCCTCAGGAGAAATGTTACCAGAAAAGACTGCCTTGTAGAGAATTTGTAGGTTACCCCCGAGCTGAGAGAAGGCTGCCACGCACGCACGTGGGAAGGGAAGGTGGATACCGAATGTCCGAGTGCAGGTGCGGTCCCAGCCGGTCCGAAGGGCTGCGTGCGTGCGCAGATCGCTACTTTCTTTCCGATGTAGCTCCGTCCCGAACAGGAGTCTGAAAGCCGAGGCCTCCTGATTCAGTAATTCCATGTAACCACCACTATTTAAACGCCCACTTATTTTCCAAAATGCCTAAGCAGCCGTGGTTTGGGTTGAGTCCGTATTTGGGGGGAGGACAGGGTCCTTTAGAATTATAGTTGTGAGCATGTGAAGCACAGAGTTTATTCCTGCACTATTATGTATTAATTACAGTATCGTTTTCCACACGAACAACTGTAAACCTACCTTCGTCCCCACCTGTATAATGGGATCCATTATAATCAGATGAGTTCAATTCAAAGGTTGTACTCGCCGGCCTTACAAAAGTGCACCTTGGGCTGCTGTGCAGACTAGTTTATTATATTTTAAAGCGGAAAAACACCGTAATGAAACCCCCAAGCCTCCATTTGAAGTCTCTCCTGAATCTGACAAAGGCCCTTGAGAAAATATTTTAAGGAAGTGACCTCGGGAGAAGTTCCCATGAAGGAAAACCACCAAAACCCACGTCTAAGTTCCTCACTTCTCTTTCTGAAGTGCTTGCTCAACCGTGGCTGATAATTTACATGTTAATGGGCCGTTCATAAATAAGTCACAGGACACAGGACTCCTTTGTGTAAGGACTCTGCCCAGCGGGCTCTGTGACAATCGGGGGGACGTGAGTGCCTCTTTCCAGCCAAGTTCAGCTCCAGCATCATAAACCTCGGGAGTCTGCGACAGCAAAACGCTAACTCAGATGCAGAGCGCCCCCCGGGGGGAAATCGAGGTAAAAATCCCCGTGGGGCCACGGCGTGCTGCGAATCAGCACTTTTCTGCACAACTGGTCCGTTCTGAACGCGCCCTAACGCTCCTCTCGATCAGTTACCGACTTTGGATGCTGTACTATTTGTCTGCGCTGTTTATAACAGATTACTCGTGTGTGGTAAGAAGGTGCTGCGTGTGCAGCGGTGGGCGAGGCACAGGTGACGGAGGCCTTTCCCGTTCGTCTGGTTGTCGACGGAGACTCGTGCGCCAGAGCCAGCGAGGGGCACGGCCTCTCCCCTCCAACTCGGCCTGCAGTCTTCCCGAGCTGGTGAGGGGTCAGCTTCCTGCCCGAACCGCGGGAATCAGCCAGTCAGAACCGGGCAGCTTAAACCGGGCAAACGGTTACAGCGGTCAGGTGTTCTAGCAACATGTTTTAGTCTCTTTTTTCCCCCCGAGAATCAGCAAAATCTGCAACCATTTCCCCCCAAAGGAAAAGCGCCCTGTATTTCAGTATCATTGCTGGTTCGCCAGGATTCTGATAAAATGACAGAGATCCGTCTTTCCCATAAAACATTAAAGGTTAATCCTCGCACAGGGACTAATTATTTACAAATTTTACAAAGTTAAAATGGCTTTTTTCAATACAAGGAAGTGGAGGGTTCACATGAAATTAGGTCTCCCTAGACTGGGAGTTTCCTCCCCTTCCATTAGCGTTTGCTCAGCGCCTGGCCCCCGGGCGTGGGTGTTGCCTGTGCACGTGGCAACGTGAGGGTGGCATCATTTGGCGAAGAGGAGAGGGCCTCTCCGAGACAGCAGGGCTGGGGAGCAAGGGCCTCGGCTCCGGCATTCAGCAGCAGCCCTGGGCCCCCCTGCCTCTCCCACACTGGCCGTGGGCACAATGCAGTCCGCTCCTGGGCCGGGCACCTGGAGGCAAAGCCGAGGTCGCGCCCCCTCAGCAACAGGGCAGCCCGGGCCATGCCCGGGTGGAACCAGGTCTGAGGCTTTGCTGTGGCGACGAGTCCGCACACCGGGCTCAGCTGCCCCGTCTGCAGCCCCGCACTCAGATGGCGCGGCGAGCCATCGTTTGCGATCTGGAAGTGGTCTGTGGTCTGTCTTTCCTGAGGCCACACCTGTGTCCTCTGGCTTTCTCGGGGAACGGAGGACAAGCAAAGGCACGTGTCGGGCACGAGTCAGAGTTGCGAGTCGAGCAATAAATAGACTCCTGGGCAGTCTTCCGTCGAAGCCACACTGAAGACGTCGGCCTGCATTCGCGTGTCCCTCGTCATGGGGGGGGGTCGATGCATTCCGGGGGGCCGAGGGCGTCAGAAAGCCAGTGCGGGCGATTTGGTGGTCGTTTGACACGATCCAGTTAATGGCAGGCTTCCAACCCAACACCCTTCCAGGCAGAACTGAATTTAAACCCTTTTAGCAACAGGAGACTGGTCGCCAGGCTCGAAACTGTGTTTGTGGTCCCCAGGCAGCTGAGAACTCGCAAAGGTTTCTCATGTGGGAGATTGTTATTCCAGTGTTTCTTCCAGTCCTTGGTGTTTCCGGGGCTAGGGAAGTGCTCGCGTCCCCCCCAGTTTTGTTTCCGTTTTAGTTTTCCTTTGAATTACAGTTGGCACTCAGTGTTGGTTTGTATGAGTTTCAGGGGCGCAGCATGGTGGTTAGGCAACCCCACACGGCACGGACTGGTCCCCCCGGCATTTCCAGGACCCACCTGGCGCCACCCACAGTCCTTCCAGTGTCGCCGACCATGTTCCCTGTGCTGTGCTGTCTGTCCCCGTGACTGTTTCGTCCCTTCCAGTCCCTACTTCTCCCTCCCTTCCCCCTTCTCCCCCAGCGCCCCCCCAACCCGCCTCCCCTCTGACAGCCCCCAGTCTGCTCTGTGTGTCTGTGAGTCCGTTTTGGTTTCGGTTGTTCATTTGTATTGTTCTTAGACCCTTCACATAAAGAGAAGTCTCACGGTATTTGTCTTCCTCAAATAGATAAAAAAAGTTCAGGCCCATTTTGCAGGTATATGCTTGTTTGCATACATGCACACTAAGTAAAATTGAGATGTCAGAAAGGTGTGCCACGCACATTCCGTGACTGCTCGTACTGCAGACATGCCTCATCTCTCCGGGAATACGCCTTCTGCAGTCTGAAAACGTGACAGGGCAGTTTCCTCCTATTCTGAAATCTTAAGAATTTGTTCCTGATATGAGGCTGCAACATCACGCGTGGTCAGTAGGTGGCGCCACTTAACACGGTTTAGGAGAAAGTGAAAATTTCTGAGTTCGACATAAACTCATGTTCAAGTGAGTGTCATAAATGTGGAAAACGCGTGAAAAAGTAGACTAATTTACGCTGGGAACATTTTCCACCGGGAACCCAGAAAAAGTTGCATCCTGTACGGACGCTGTAAAAACGTCCCCGCGACACTTGGCGGCGGCCGCGGAGGGTCTGGCTGTCTCTTTGCAGAGACAACCACGCTGCCTCCCGGAGCCTGGGGCCCTGGCCCCGCTGTCACGGGGGCGCCGTCCCGCTGGGCTCCGCAAGGCTTTAAAATAAAAAGACAGGATCGTCCCCAAACAGACTGAGACGATTCTCTCTTCTTTAAGAAAAAGAAAAAAATCACGGCGACCTGCTGCGGTGGGAGACGTGGGGATCCGGAATCGCGCAGGCGCGAGTTCGAGCCCAGCGCCCCCACGGCTGCTGGGGCCGTCTTGAGCCTCGGCCTTCCGTGGTGTGTGTTTTGAGCCACAGAGTCCCTCTCTCTGAATTTCAAGGCTTACTCTTCTAACAGTGTCTGGGGGAGATTAATAATTGTATATAAACCACCTGGCACATAGTAGGGATTCCAAAAACCGTGGTTATTAGCAGTAGATGCGTTTCAGGAAAGCCTCAGACCCGCTCTGAGATTTTACGTGTCCCGCCCCACCCCCGCTCTTCAAG